GCTGTCTGTAAATAGTCCTCCAAGCCTTTAAAGTTTATGGGGTCCTCCTCCTGTATTACAGATTTCTACCCGTGTCCAATACACCAATCTTTATTCTTCTGTATTGTATGGGAAAAAAAGTGTTCTCCACCGGAGAACATTTATCATTACCTTAGAAAAAAAATCCTCTAGTGAAGTGGTTGGTAGAATTTTGACTTGTGTATATATAAATATATAAATATATTTGTTATTTTAGTCCATGCTCCTAATCCTCCAGTTCCTAATCCTCCAAGTCCCTGCAGTTCTCTCCTAAGTTTTCCAAGAAGGGTAGAAAGTAGAGAGAAAATGACCATATGGCGTTTACAACCTGCACATTTCCTGATTGTATAATAGAATTCAATCTATTTCTGTGAATTAAAGTATTTTAAAGAATGGTTTCTGGGGTCCGATTTCTCTCGTTTAATGTTTGCGTGAAAGTCTCTTAAAAGAAATCTCCAGTTTTGTTTTTTGTTTTTTTTAAAGATGTAAACATGTAATTGCAGCCATTTTGTGATTTAGTAAAATTACCCTTCCATTTCATTCTACAGCCACAATGATTTTCTTTATCTGCAAAAGAAGGCAAAAAAAAATCTGACTTCTGTTCCTTGCAACCATGGCAACATTCATTTTAAACTCTGGATGCCTTAGAATCCTATGCCCCTGGTCCTGTAATTGGCTCACTGTCTCTTCCAGATGTCTACACAGAACTCAATGTATAGGCACGGAACATACCATCCGGGCACTGGTCTTATCTGTACTGCACCGAGAAGTATATTTTTGACTTATCAGTTGTATCTTTAAATGGATGCTGGGGATTCACTGTTTACTATTGCAACACTGGGAGTGAGGTCAGTTAAAGGCAAGACCTCCCACTTGGCACTCATTTTGAAGAATTTAAGTATGTGTGCTAGCGTGGCTTATCTTGCTGTATACAGTTTAAGTTCAAGTACATATCTGCCACATAGTTTGCAGGGTATATAGTATTTTCTGGAAGAAAGTGGTCTGTCGCTTGAATGGCTTGGCTTTTGACACACAACGTCATGACCATGCACAGTTTATGAAAAGTTGGATATTTAATCACATTGACTATGTGAAAGGTGTTCTGTGATTAGAATTGTAAGCTTTTTTAAAGATTAACTCTACTTTGAAAGAAGACTTTATATATTATAAGCTCTCTTACAAATAGGGCTGCAACCAACTAATCGATTATGAGAATAGTTGTCAACTATTATTGATTGGTTGGATCCCCTAGCTCTCTCCTTCATGCTGGGAGAAGGGCACAGCAAGCAGTGGGTGGGTGCAATAGCCTGCCTGCTATTGGCTATTGCAATTTCAATTGTCCAATATCAGACTGGCTATTGCACCCGCCCACTACCTGCTGTAATTGCAGTTGGCTGCCGTATGTGGAATCTTGCCACTGGCAGCTGTCATTCCCTGGCTGAAGCTATTCAATGTGCTTACAATACAGTTATTAGAAAAAATATATATAAAAGGTGGAAAAAAAGTCATTTTCGGTTTCGGCCTGACAAATTCTGCTGCGGGAGGTGTGTTGCAGTGCCATTAGTTTCAATGGCACCCCAAACGCGCCTCCCACCCAGTGTGTGATATTGCCCACACTGGAACAGACAGTACCGCAAAACCGTGCATTCCAGTGCAGTGTGATTGCAAAAAACAGTGCCTGCAGTTTTATTCTAAAGTGAACTTTTGTAACACTGCATTTGTGTATTTTTTTATTTTAAATTAAGGATGATATTTGTATTTATTAAATTTTTTAGCCCGATTAATCAAAAAAATAGCCAACGAATCGATTATGAAAATCATTAGTTGCAGCCCTAGTTACAAATGAACTCTGCTATGATGAAATATTGTAGACTTAATATACTATAATTGTAAGTTGTATTAATGCGGTCCTTTCATGTAAATGGAAGGTCTGTTTTCCCAGCAACCTGTCTCTTCCCAAACAAAATTAGCTGCTGTTTTTTGGCAGTCAAAACTGATTTGTTTTTTGTTTTTTTTTACAAGGTCCACTTGAAAAAAAATCAGATCAGATAAACAATAGTTGTTTCTATAGTGACCATATACAGTTACTAAGAAACAAATTCAGTACAATTTATAATAACCCTTTTACGTGAAAAACAAATACTTTTGTCAACTCAAAAAAAAAATACAAAAATTGAAGTACATGGATTGGACTGAGGTAGAGTTTGGAGTGACAGGCTGATCTGCCAATCAGCAGCTGAACATTTCAATCGCACAGTCTCTTTAGACCCACTATAAATAAATGGGGGTTAAAGAAAACTTGTGTTCCAGAACTATGGGTCCCTGTCTGTCATGCTGATCCGAAGGCTTCAGTACTTTAGGTTCTTAAGCTGGGTAATGTAGAATAAGAGCTCTACCTGCTTGTTCAGCTCAGTTTTTCAGAAAGTATTAAAGCCAGAGACACCCAAGCTACCGGGAATTTTTAGGAGGATTTTCCACAATGAAAGTGATGTTGGATCTTATTGCCCCTTTGCCAGCTCAAGTAGAATCATTCTGGCAAAGAATAAGTCCTGAAAGGCCAACTCTAACTTCGGCACAAAAGTAGAAATGTCAGTCCCCAACCAGCTCCGGTTGCTATACCCATTCTATCTCTGGCACTGTCTCTGCAGACTTACGTAGTCACTGACCCAGTGCCTCGGCCCATTCTGTATGAGCCCAGGTTGTCAAGGTATCAATCCCCTGGACTCGGAACAATGCTTCAGAATGTGGTGCCACATCATTACATGGAACTACTCTGTGCAGAATTTTGGATTTTCCTACTGTTGGAGGAAGAAAAGGGTGACCAGGACCATTTGTTTTAATGGGAAGGGGGGTGGCAGACAGGGGCTGGGAAAAACTTGAGGCTGGAGATGGCCTTTAAAGAGACCCTGTCATCCCCTTTGACCTTGAAACGAAAATGCATAGACACTACTGCTGAACAAGAGTTGGAGATATTGGAACATTTACTCATGATGCTGAGCTGGGGTATCTCTGGTGGCACTGCTGTGTAATCAGTGGGAGACACCAAGATTCCCAGGGTACTGTGTGTTACTGAGTCAGTTGTAATGGCATTGGGACATTTCCAGGTACTACACACAAGCAAACCTTTTTTTTCCCAAGGAATAAGCATGCTTCTACTATTGACAAGAGGCAAAAGCAGTAGTCATGTCTACCAAAGTATTTGAACTAGTCATTGCATGGGGAGGACTCTAGATCCTAGCCCCAGGTTGTAGCGACGTTTCTCCAAATCAGCCTTACAAGTGTTTTGCCTACTGTCACAAATAAAGGCTGTGGACTGACAGACTGCTACCAACTAAACTAAATAATGAGTTCTTTTTGGCCGTGTGGATGATGACAATACTTTTAGCTCTAAGAAACACCTATCTGTATTCTGCTTCAGTCCTTTTATTTTTTTCCGACCTAAGCTTATAGCTACTGTTTCTCATCTTCTGAATGCCAAATCTCTATCCTGCTATACATAACTACAAGGTAAGAAGTGATGTATGTGATATAAGATGTGTGTATACTCTGCCGTCTGTCATAAACACCCTCCCTCTGGGTGTTACTGTTTATATAGACTGGGTGTCAGATATGCGAAGTACACCATTTTCTTTATTCTTATATCTTAAATATGTATGCTAATGGCCCATGAGCTGTAGCTATAGTAATTACTACTCGTCCCTTGGACCAGAACGTTAAATTATAGGGTTCTTCAATGTTAATATGGCTGAGAAAAGCTAATATTAAATGCATTAATGTTAACTTTTTAACAAACTGCTAGCAGAATAAGCATCTGAAATGTATGACCTGTCACCCTGGGGTTAAACTGTTTTTTGTCATTTTGGCTGATAAGTGAAGCTATCCTAAAATAAATAAATGTTGTATAATGTTTGTGTTTCCAATAGGCTTTCATACTTACATGATGTAGCAGTCATCAGAATAGTGAGGAATTTGCATGCTGTGATTTTTCGGTTTTCAAATTCACTAACATCAAAGCCCTTGCTGCCCTAGCGTGCCCGGTTTTGAACACTATGCTAGTAATATGTGTAACATTTCAAGTAACCCAGTGTTGCGTGTTGCCACAATTAGCAAGCAGCCTTATAAAGACCATTGGTAAAGTTGTGCATAGAAAAATGTTGACTTTCAAATTAAGTATCTCATAGCTGCAAAGTCAGATTTCAGTTAGCAGGAGCAATGAAGAATATTTCTATTGATTTTCTAGTGCTCTTTGCACTTAATATTTGCTCTTTCTAAATTGTATAGACTAAATATATTTCCGTGTTTGCGGATTACACCAAAATGGGGAGGGTAATAGACACGGACTTAGACACTATAACATTACAGGAGGACCTGGATAAAATAGGGGAGTGGGCATTAATGTGGCAGATGAGGTTTAATGTCGATAAATGCAAAGTAATGCACTTTGGAATTAAAAATAAACAAATGGGTTATACAATTATGGGTATGCCGCTAGGGAAGTCAGAAATGGAGAAGGATTTGGGGGTCATTGTAGACCACAAACTGAAAGGTAGTTTGCAGTGCCAGGCTGCTGTAAACAAAGCTAGCAGGGTTTTGTCCTGTATTAAAAAGGGGATGTATTGCAGGGACAAGTCTATAATTTTGCCACTTTATAGATCATTGGTTCAACCTCATCTGGAGTACGCGGTCCAGTTCTGGTCACCAGTACTAAGAAAAGATGTCCTTGAGTTGGAAAAAGTCCAGCGGAGGGCAACCAAACTAATTAGGGATATGGAGGACCAGAGCTACGAGACAAGGCTACTAAATTTAAACATGTTCACATTGGAGGTGAGAAGATTAAGGGGGGATATGATCTCCATGTACACAATGTTCAATGGTGGTAGCAACATTAGCGATAAACTGTTTAAAAAAACTGTTCCATTTGTGTTTTTGGCTTTATAAATCTTAGATTATTATGGAGAATAATTTTTTCTGTTTTGCTCTAGGTTTGCTTCAAGGTCCTCATGCTTTCCAACTGGGGAATGATGGAACTCCTAAAGTTCCTGGTGGTGGAGTTGCCACTCTTTCTACTGATGACACTGGCATTTTAGAGTTGAAGGCTGAATGCCCATCAAAAGGGCCATCTAGTTGCAGTTCATTTCATAGCAGTGAAGAAGAAGGTACAGACAATGAGAATGATCTGTTAGATTGCAGTGGATCTAGACCACTTCTGATGGAATCCGATGAAGAAGAAGGTTCTAAAAAGACCAAGGAAACAGCATATGTTAAACCCCACGAAGATCTTATTTCAAACCAGATGCCCAATGCATATACATTTACAGACCGACTGAACCAAATCTCTGGAGCAGGCTTTAGTGAAGAACCGGATGTATTTGCAACAGCTCCATTCAGGAGCTCCAAGGTGACACAGGATGATTCTGATATATTCACTAAGGCTCCATTTGTGGCAAAGCCCAATGCTGTTTTGAGCCAGACAGAAGAACCTGATGTCTTCCTTAGAGCTCCTTTCACAAGGAAAATAAGTGTTGAAGAGACAGATCCTACTGCCACATCTCAAGCTCGTGCATCTCTCCAAGGGCTTGACGTGGCATCAGCAGCTAATTCCACATTCCGAAACACAGACTTGATGGTGGGAGGCACTTCCATGAAGACTTCATACACTACTGGAAACCTGTCTGCACATTCCAGCAGAAGCATTGAGTCGTCTGAGGCCTCTTTGTACCTGAACGCTTCCAAGGACCTACAGAGTGCAGAGAATCACAAGATCCCCAGCCACGAGGCAGCCCAGGAGATTGTGTTTGGGACTGTGCTTACAAAGCCATTCCGCCCTCAGTCTTTGTCCAAATATTCCCGTCACTACAACCCTGAAGAATTGCAGCCCGTTGAAGCACAGCCCATTGCTGCTTATAAAGTTGTGTCTCACGTTGCAAAAGCCTCTGTGGCTGGATCAGTTCCCATCAACCCAGTGACTTACAGAACTTCAGATATCTCAAGTGCAGATCCATTTGGCTCGGCTCCCTTTCCTGCCAAAGCTGGAAGACAAAATCCATAGAATATGATCTATATAGTTTATGCTTTGTCTCTTAGAATTCCCCAGACATTCATACCCGGTGTTGCAATGCACTTCCTATTAATGCATTAATCCTTTGGTTGTTACTTCACACCCTTGCTGAAGTGCACCAGTCACCTCTAAATTGGCCTCAACAATGTGGCCTTTCATTACTGGAAACATACACAATCAGTGGTTGAATTATTGGCTTTTTTGGTAGCATAAGTAGGAAAAGAATACCAACTGCCTTGCAACTGAAGTTAGAACATTTCCTAACGTGTATTTGAATGAGGTCAGCATGTACTGTGAGTATTCATTTAGATCAGAATGCAAACTGCATCATCTCTGTCTTCACCTACTTTTGGTACAGTTAGCTTTCCATATTTCATGAATGTGCACAGTTTGGGCTACCGTCATTCAAATTGTTTCAGTATTGTGTATAAAAGTAGCTGTGCCTAACCATGAGACCAACATGCTGCTTGGCGACCACATAAGAGTTCTCCCTCTTTCTCCCCATAAAAATTAATGGAAACCTGGCACAGCTGAGACTCCCATCAGGAGAAAATAGTGTACGGTCAGGGGCAGTCATGTCGCAGAGGCTGATGGTACAGAGTTGTGCTTTGCCCCAAAACCTACACTGATTCCGAGAGTTGGGCAATGGCAACCTCTGGTGCTAGATGGAAGCCCTAAGCTGTGACAAACGTGATCTCTTCTGACAGGTTCCCTTTAATCCATCCATTGATGGTTATAAATGGGTTAATGCATTGATCTTTTTGATTTATTTTTTTCTTTATTAAAATTTTGTGTTTTAGTTCAGTTTGTTCTGAAACCTTAGAAATTGAGGTGCCTTATTTATAGAGATGAACAATCTTGTCCTGCCGTGCAGTGCCTGGTATTAAACTCTGAAGTTCCAATACAAGTCTCTAAAAAGTTATTAACAATAACATTTGTAGGTTATAATGGGCCCAGTTTACCAGCTTCAGCAAATGTGAGGACTGTTCTTTCATCTCGGCCTTAGCATGTTTTTTTTTAAATTAACCTTTTATTATAGATTTCTTTTAATTCTTGATTTTCTTTGTCTGTTTCACAGTGTTTTCCCCAATACATTCTAAGCACTTGAAGAGAGAGGCTACCGGTACCTTCTAACTGTTGTCTACCAATCTCCCCGTAGAGCACAATTGCATTCACTTATATAAGCTACTGAGATTTGGAGAAGGAAAAGTAGAACGAGCCTCTCTGGTTTACGAAGCTTGGGCTTTTCTCACCCGTGGGTCTTTATAGGTCTCTGGAACTCCAGAAAGCACACCCCTGCCGTGACAAGCCGGCGTCGGGCTGTAGTTGGCTTTTAAACTAGTCTTCTGGAATCAGCTGAATCAAATGTTTCATATATTCCTATGGCTATTCCACTAGAGGGCCTGTGATACATCTATTGTGTACCTGCTAGTGGATTCTTCATAGGGATATACAGACCGGAAGTTCAAATGATCTTATCCATGCAGGAGGTGGGATAAAAGCTCTTCATGCCACGGTCCCAGAAAACTGGAGAGCCAGGCAGCCTAATGGCTTCCTTAGAGACTTGAAGGCCTTATGCTGCTGCCTCATCTCAAGCTGAGGCCTTGTTCACACCAAGCGCGTTCCAGGAGCAGAGCAGTTACAGAACGGATCAAAACTGCGTCCAATGTATTCCAATGGTATTTGGGGCTCTAGTTCACACCGCAGCGTTCAGTTCCAGAGCATGTAAAAAAACTGCAGCAAGCCCTATTTTACCGGCTCTGGAACGCATCAAAAACGCACTGAAAAGCCCATTCTAAACTGAAAAAAAAAACTTTTTTTTTTTAACCAAAAACAGCCTGGAACGCATCAAAACACTGCAAAAACCCACTGCACTGCGTGTGCACAAACTCATGCAGATCTGGTCTGCATTTGGTGTGAACAAGCCCTTATGCATCTTTTAAAGGTCTTGACACGTCATCATGGGGGATCAAATGCTGGACTGATGAAATATGGGGCTTATGTGTATCAAACAAAGGTTTAAGAATTCCCTCTACACAAGCAACCAATCGGATGCTTTCATTGTTTTTCCCAAGAAACATGACAACTGGGATATAGGAACCACATGCAAGTTTTCTTCCCTTCGGGCATGTTTTTTTTTTTTTTTTTAATACACGAAGGCCTTTGTTTTTCTGTAATGAAAGCGGCATCTTTTATGAAATGGAAAATCCACAGGGGCAGCTTGGTTGCTATAGCGAGCACGGACACTTCTTAAGATTCTTTTTAGATGCAATGTCCATTATTCTTGAGCTATGATGAGAGATGACAGTACATCATGACATACATATCTTCTCTCAGTTGTCCCTAATGCGGTTTAATCTGCCCTTTATTAAAAAAAATAATCACAGCATTTTATGAGGCATAATCTTTCACTTTTCTGACTGCTGTAATCTGATGAAAGGTGAAATCTAATTTGAGCTTTTATGGGTTACAGGTTTTACCTATTAGTGTTCTTGCAGTACTGTTTAAGCCTGACAGTCGGAGTAAGGGATACACTTAAAGGTGGCCATACATACACCTTACAATTTATCTGCAGATTTTCTGTGGTCAGATGGAAAAGGTGCAACAGATTCCTCCATCTACACTAAACTGTGTGGATGGAGGAATCTCCACCTGGGCCAATCTGTTGCACTTTTTCCATCTGACCACAAAAAATCTGCAGATAATTGTAAGGTGTGTGGGCACCTTTTAAGGTGCCCATACACTCTACAACCCTCGCAAGACTTTTGTCTTGCGAGGCTTGTAAAGTACTTAAAAAAACGTACGATCTGCCCATCTTGGACAGGCAGATCGTACCTGCGATCACCGCAAGCCCGCCCCCGTGAGGGGCGGGTTTCCGATGACTGCAATGCTGAGCGGGCACACCGTGCGTTCGCACACCGGCCCGTTCGGCAGTGATCTCTTGATCATGTTAAAAACCAGCCGAAAATCGTACGATTCTCGGCTGGTTTTCCAACATGCTTGATATACAAAAGTCGTGCGACCGTACATTAGAAACGGCCACACTCCTTCCATACACTGCACGATTCTCGTACGATCGCGGGATTTCCTGCGATTCTCGTACGAGAATCGTGCAGTGTATGGGCACCTTAAGGCTAGGCACACGCCTTACAACCATCGCAAGACTTTTGTCTTGCGATGGTTGTAAGGTACTTTTAAAAAACGTACGATCTGCCTATCTTGCATAGGCAGATCGTACTTGCGATCACAAGCCACGCCCCCTGAGGGGCGGGCTTCCGATGACCGCAATGCCGAACGGGCAGTGTGCGCTTGCGCACACCGGCCCGTCCGGCTTTTATCTTACGAACATGCTACACACCCGTCGAACATCGTACGATGCTCGGCGGGTTTTTGAACATGTTCGTAAGTTTAAAGTCGTGCGACCTTACAGTAGTAGAGGTCGCACGGCTTCCACACACCTTACGATAATCGTACGATTGCGGGATTTCTCGCGATTATCGTACGATTATCGTAAGGTGTGTGGGGACCTTGAGAAGTGGTGTGTAAACCATTTGAATAGCACACAGCTGGTGGATCTAAGGGGCATAGGAAAGCCCTCAGCTCTTTGGCTCCATCTAGTGGTCATAATGTGCTGCAACGCTCATTCCCATAGCTGTTCGCTATGCAGATGGTCAGTTTATAAATCAGCCCCCATTATAGATGTCTTTCCTTCACCTTGCAGGCTGAAGGGAAAATATCTAACACTTTCCTCTACCCATGCTAAACAACGTGGTTTTCATGAATCTCTCCTGCTGGGCTATTATAATTTGTATTTAATTCCTGGAGTTGGGCTTATCATGCATATCAGGGCTGCCATTGCTGGCCTCCTCCCAACAATACTAGCTGCATGGCTGGCTCTGTCTTCAGTACTTTGATTCCTGACTTAGAACAAGTAGGCAGGTTAGAAATTAGGAGGGAAGAAGAGACAAAAAGCATGATCTGCATGCTTGGACTAGGCCAAGAGTAGGCAACCTCAACGGTCCATCTGTGGTAAAGCTATACATTTCATCATGCCTCTACCTGAGGGAGTCATGGCTGTGACTTAGCCTTGCAGTGCCTCATTGGACTTGTAGTTCCTCAGTAGCTGGAGTGCTGAGGTTGCTTACCACTGTTCTAAGCCATTGCCGCAAAGCAGGGGGTAGTAAACCTCGACACTCCAGCTGTGATGAAACTACAAATCCCGTCATGTCTGTGGCTGTCAGTCTTGCAGTGCCTCATGAGAGTGGAGCTGGAGTGCTGAGGTTGCCTACCCCTGCCTTACAGTATGAAAGCATGGCAGCCAGGCAACTATCATTTTCAAAAGGTGAACAATGGCAGCCTCCATTTTGAGTGAAATCATGTACAATGTTAAAGTTGATCTTCCCAAATATTTCTAAAAAAAAGTTAGGAAGTGATACCATTTCAGGTGCCTTTAAACAGCTCCTCCACCAATATCGAATGGGTGCAGCTAAAAAGTCTCTTGAAACAGGTGAATGTTGTCCCTTGACAGATTTCTATGTTGCTTATGTAGGGATTGGCTGATTCATCAGCGGTCACGTTTTCATAGACATGGAAGCTTCTAACGATTTCAGAATCCTTCCAAATATTCTGACAATCAGCCCTGAAGTTTTTTTTTTCTTTGATGTTTACTTCCATGCTGCTTGTTCTGCTCTCTTATCACTCCACATCGCTTACTCTAAATAAAGCTAAATCTTGTTTTTCTCTATTCGCAGAGCTGCTTCCTCTATTGGTGATTCTTAAGAATTGTCAATAACGAGTACTGCACAATTGTACTGTAAGATGTAACTGTACGTTCCTCCCAGCAGCAGATCTCGGAGGGTCAGACGAGGCGGGAGACGTATTTATGGAAATGTAACCGGAAAAGAGAATAATCTGAATTTGTTGGATTGCTGAAATCCCGATCTACAGTCATGACCAAAAATATTGGCACCCCTGCATTTCTGTCAGATAACGGCATTCTCATGTTTATTTCTTTTGTTTGTATCGGTATGACACAAAAAAAGTCAAATCTGACACATTCCACGCAAAGCTCCAAAAATGGACAAAATTATTGGCACCCTCAATT